CTTATGCTCATCGTTTTGTAGGGTCAAACGCGTTGTGTCAGTTTTTCATCAAACGCGTTGTGTAATAACCACTTTGTTTCGAAATGTATCCGAAAGGGAGATTGACAATGCCGTTTTAGAGAGTACTGCCTGCAAATAAGTTGATAGTCTGTGTAAAGTATAAGGCGGTACTTAACATATGCTTGTGAAAAATATCATAGCGATAAATTGATGATGCGTATGTTTTCCCATAACAAGTTGTGTACGGGCCTTGTGAATTTATGAATAATTTTGAGCAAGTGAAGAATTAGGGAATGATTTTGAAGCGTTTATGGACAGGTGAAGCTATATAACGCAATCAAATATGTCATCCTGATACTAGAAATCTGTTTATTTATTTATTTTAGCTTTTTATCGATGAAACGTTTATAATTCTGAGCCTATATTCAGTATAATATATGACGTTTAGTTTAAACAGCTGCTCGTGGTATCCGGAAGTAAATGTTCTAGTTTTCTTTCAAATGCAAGTGCGCACTGAACGAAACTTGATATCAAACGTTTACTTCTCTTTAGCTGCTTTTTAGCAGATTATATTTGTTTTGGCGAGAAAAGGTCTCTTCAGAGAACATGCAAAGCAAATTTATTTCTACAATTCTTGAATCGGGCTATATACTCTAACAGACCATTACAAAACTGTAATAGGAAACAGTTGAATCGAAACGTTTTAAACGCCGGGCACTTCAGACGTTTATATTTTTTTTTCGGTAGGAGCGTCAGAAATTTTTAGCGTCCTAATCTTATGCACTTTAGACAAATCAGCAGACATTCAGCATATCGTGAGACATGAGACACTTATCGTGAGAGCCATCTAATAAGTGAGCCGAAATTGTATCATGTAAATGTCACTCTCTTATTAAAAGAATATTATAATTTTCCCGCAGCCTCAATATTCTTAAGAAATCTTCGCTTTGAGCCTGGATCAAGGGAACATAGTTAGAGAAATTTCATGTCGTTAACGAGGAGAGAGTCGAGCCAAACAATTAATCAAGTATCACAATGTTCTTAACAAACATGCATCTTAAACAGCAATTATCAGCACACGCAATTGATATAGAGTCGTCCGAAATTACATAAAAAACGTTCCAAATCCTTGCCCAAAATTAGTTCCTCCGAAATTACTGGCTATTAATACCTTCTTCATCGCCAACCCAGCTACAACATTGTGGAGTAAATAAAATAATCATTTTCAGGGCTGATTCACGTTGCTAAATCTATGCTTTTTCTTCTGATGTTTTTCAAACAAACAGTCTCTTCAGTCTTCTTTCTATCGACGCTCTATCGCTGATCTCTCCTTTTTTATTGAATTTATCAAGATGTTGTTGCTCTCAGGAAACGGGAGACATGATCCGGGGTCCTCTGAGACATGTTACGAATAGCAGACATTCTTTCAGTTTTCACCCTTTCTAAGTCTCTTTGCCAAACTCACGGACTCTGTCTCACGCTCCTCCTTTCTCCCTTCTCCTGTCAACTTGCTCTCCTTTTCCTGCTACACAGACTCTCACATGCTGTCTCTATTCAAAACTGAAATCAACAGCTTTATCTTCCCTCCCTGTTTCTAATCCCTCCCTACCTATTTCCCTTGCTAGGGTTTACTATAGGCTCCTGTGCCTTTCCCTAACATTGCATTTAAACTAACAGCACCATTGTATAGCTTGGTTAGTGGGTATTGTACATGGTGGAGGTATTCACACTATCTGCATCAACCCTTTATGTTTAGAGCGTATTACTATTATCTGTAAAACTGTGCCAAGAAGAGTATAATAATAATTGCATCAAGCATTAAACTCAGAGTTGCAACTTAAACATCTTCCATTTTAAACACCAAAGCTTGTACAACAACGCCTATACGGCATCGAACACTATATGACAGACTGACAGGTAGTCTTTTTCAATTTTTAGAGATATGTACCATAGACGATATTTCTTAGCACAACAATAAGTCAGTTATAAAGAGACCGAAGAATGCAGAAAAACAACGTTTGTAATTTCCAGTCTAGATGATTATGCTAGGACTTTACTTGGATACGTACACATATAAGTGTTATATATTTTAGAATAATTGTTATCAATTATAAATATATTTTTGCTTCATGATTATCCATCTATAAGCGTATTTGCACACATTATATTTCTACAAATCTGATAGTGTTCATATTGTTCTTTTTGACCACAGTGCTCATATTTATCAAAATAATGTCAATAAGCGAGATACCTGGAGTTGCAACTAACAACAATCTTGTTCTGTGCACAAAAGCGCGTACAGCTCGGCCTACATGACATCAGTCCTTCTATGACTGGCCGGTAAACAGTAATTTTTATAAATGTTGCAGTTATGTTTTAAAGACGATATATCCAGTTCAAGAAATAGCTAAACACAATGGTCTCGAGACATAACAAATGAAAATATCGTCGCTTATATATTAAAGACCATATGTTTTAATTAAGACTTTACTGACATATCTACAAATACTATTGTAGTAACGGTTGTCTATAAACACTATATTTTTGCCTTATAGTTACCCACCTACATTTGAAGAACTGAGATTTCTATAGAACTAGATTTTCACCATTAAAGGTTACAATAGAATATGATTCGTTCTAAACTGAAACGAAATGAACGTTATCACACTTTTGCAAAATGTGGACAGGATAAAAGAACTGGTTAAATTTCGAAATGCCCATGAATTATGGATCCACATTCCTAACTTTGCGCTTTGAGAGACATGCCAATCTCTTTATTAAAAACATATATAATTGATGTTCAATGTTTTGTCGAAGCATTTGTTGTGACTTTATATGCTGGAGACGGGAAAAAGATTTCTTCAAACTGAAAATGCGAAAATTGAATGATTATTGAAGGGGGCCTAAAGAGTTGTCAACATTAAGGTTATCTAAAAACACATTTATTGACATTATTGTAAGATAATACTAAGGCTACAATCAGTGAACATTCTTCATGATAAGATTATTTTCTTAGGTTTGTCTACATACAACCTAGGTTCTTTACAAAACCTTCTAAAACTGCATGAGCAAGACACCAGCCTCAATCTACCAACATCCTTTTATGCTTTCAACTATACCTTGCTTGCAATTTTAGAAGGTCTTGTGACTCTATTCACGGCGCTGCTTGGAACAACTTGGCTCTTGGTAATCCGCGCAATCAAGAATCTTCTGCATGAGCAACACACCAGCCTCAATCTACCAACATCCTTTTATGTCTTCAACTATACCTTGCTTGTAATTTTAGAAGGTCTTGTGACTCTATTCACGGCGCTGCTTGGAACAACTTGGCTCCTGGTAATCCGTGCAATCAAGAATCTTCTGCATGAGCAACACACCAGCCTCAATCTACCAACATCCTTTTATGCTTTCAACTATACCTTGCTTGCAATTTTAGAAGGTCTTGTGACTCTATTCACGGCGCTGCTTGGAACAACTTGGCTCTTGGTAATCCGCGCAATCAAGAATCTTCTGCATGAGCAACACACCAGCCTCAATCTACCAACATCCTTTTATGCTTTCAACTATACCTTGCTTGCAATTTTAGAAGGTCTTGTGACTCTATTCACGGCGCTGCTTGGAACAACTTGGCTCCTGGTAATCCGTGCAATCAAGAATCTTCTCACAACGCTGTTGCCATATGCGAATAGAATAGCATTTATTGCAGCATTAAAATACACAATTATATAAGACCAATATTCTAGTACGTTTATGGTTAATGGGGGATTTCTGTACTCCTGGAATTTGTAATACGTCCAGATTGCGGAGGAAATGTTGTACGGTAGATACAGTACCAACAAAGCCCCAGGACAAAACGAATTGTTTTCGTTGCCGAGATTTCTCGTCTTGTTTCTCGGTTACCCGAATCTTCTCCGGCATCTCTCAGCATTCTCTTAAATTTCTCCGCATGAGTGGCAATTCTGCGAAACACCATCGAATACAAGATGAACATAAACAGAACACCAAACAGATTGGATAAATTCAACACGACTTGCAGAGGAAAAGAAGGAAACGCGATCGATATGTAAGCGATTATTGCCGAGGTTACGAAGCTAAACACAACGATCACCTTCATGCGAAATTCGTTCATGAACTTATTGTACTTTTTGAGCTTCGTCACGTGAAGATAACGATCCATAGATACGCACATCAACATGAAAAAGGAGAAATAAGCGAGAAGAAAGGCGCCATAATGAAGAACCAGTTCAAACACACAGTTTCGGTACTTGTCCTTTAAAGCTGCCATTACAGCTATTGATGGCAGAACAAAGATTCCAGTTCCAAGATCTGATATATTCATCACGAGAATGAATTTGTTTGTGATCGTGTTTAGCTGCTCCATTTTGTAAAGTCCGTAAATTAGTGCTGCGTTCGAGACGATGGTGATTGGTGACAAAAGGGCGGTAAAAAACGACCAAGTGATCAAATGGGGCGACGGCATGTCTAATGGCCATATTGACGGGCAATAGTAAGTTTCTTCTGGATGTGAGTGATTCATTACTGGTTATTTCTTTCTGAGTTTTTTAAATTGAAACGCCAAATATTACGAAGAACAATACCTTTCAGTGTCAGTTTTTCGCTCAACTGTTCTGTGTTGTTCTTTGATGAGCACTATCTTTCGAAATGTACATGGCAAAGCAAAGTCGCTACTAATCATTTCGAGGCAAAGCGAAGTCGCTACTGATCATTTCGAGAATCCACCAGAAAATGAAGCACCACTACCATGTAGAGCAGAAGGCGGCAATGAACATCTGCTAGCGGATTAACTTCCAATCTGAATTTTGCTTATGGTTATGTTTCTCCATTCAGCATTGCTGTTGTTTTTAAATTAGGTGAATTTATCTGTTGGCAATTCTAATGAACTGAGGATCAACAGCAAACTTTGCTTATTAGTGGTGTTAACCAAAAGGATGCGAAATACCTTTTTGCTGCTATTAACTATTAACCGTCCGCTCTATTCAACTATTACCCGTCAGGCATTGCTTCAATATTACCCACTGTCCATTTCAGTACCTGCTTCTAGACTATCTGAAAGTGCAGCACAACATATTGGAATACGCATTGCCAATAAAGCGCCACTCGACGTATATTTCTATATTGATTTTATAGAAGAATGTCATATTATGCATTTGTCAACCTTTTGCGTTGATAAGTGGACCTTTATGAATTCCGTCATGTGTGTCTGCTCGAGGAGAGCGTTTTATATTTACTCGAAAATTTTATTTTCTCCGCCTTATTTTTTGTGGAAATATTACTTGTGTATGCTACAGAGTATAGTGATGCATTTTCGGTCTTTCTTAGTTTCTTTTTTGTTATATTTGTTCTAAAGATTTCAGAAACTTAGCGTTCTGGTGCTTTATGGTTAACTAATCCTAAATAAATTTCTAAGGCGAAGATTTTTACAGAGCCTCCTTCTAGAGGGAAGAATTCTTGAAGCCTCGTTCCCTTCCCGGCATTCACTGTGTTCTTTTGTTACATTCTTTTTTTCTGCCTGTCATCAATTCTTATTATTTATTTTGTTCGGCTTCATGAAACAACCTCCAAACCCTATTTTCTACGTGCTCTTTATAATCATTTTCATATGGTATATCCCCACCATCCTTAGAATCGTCATTTCCCCTTCCATACATCACATTGTTTTTCCACCGATCCTTTGGTTATTTTCTCTGAGATCTCCGCTTTTTACCTTAAACAAACTGCAATTATTGAAACAAAAATGGATTAGAGGTACTTTTGACTATGTGGGCCGCTTCCTTAAAAAGTTGTGTACGGATCATGCAAGTTAATGAAAAATTTCAAACAAGTGAAGAATTATAGAATAATTTTTGAAGCGTTGATTGGACCGGTGAGCGTTTTATCAAAATCAAATATTTCATATAACAGTAAACTATGATTGGCTATTTCAAGAGAATTTTCTATTGGGGAAAGCTGGAGGCTTTAGGATACATTTGATATCCGATTTGGCTCAGTGCGCACTATGCATTTCAAAGAAAGCTAGGAGTTTTCTTCCTGATACCACAGTCAGCTGCTCAAACTAAATGTTACAGATTTATACTGAACATAGATACAGAAATGTATAGATTCTTATCCATAAAAAGCTTGAATAGATAAACAAACAAGATTCTACCTCCAAGAGGGCATATTTGATTTGTTTAAATAGCTCACCGCTCTAATGAAGCTTTTCACTATTTCTTCACTTGTTCAGACAAGGTCGGTACGCAACTTGTTACGGAAAAACCTACGCATCCTCAATATATCGAGTTGACATTTTATCGCGAGGAGATGTTTATTACCGCCTTATACTTAACAGGGTGTTAGTATCTTATTTCCAAGTAGTACTATCTATAACGGTATCCTCTATATCTGTCTGGTGCATTTCGACAGAAAGTGCTTATTACACAACAGAAGAGGACAGTCGGCCGAAAAACTGGCACAACGCGTTTAACTCTACAGAACGCAAGACATTAGAGATTTTCGCGATGATAAATCATTCACATCCAGAAGAAATCTACTATTGCCCATCAATATGGCCATTAGACATGCCGTCGCCCCATTTGATCACTTGGTCATTTTTTACCGCCCTTTTGTCACCAATCACCATTGTCTCGAACGCGGCACTAATTTACGGACTTTACAAAATGGAGCAGCTAAACACGATCACAAACAAATTCATTCTCGTGATGAATATATCAGATCTTGGAACTGGAATATTTGTCCTGCCATCCATAGCTGTAATGGCAGCTTTAAAGGAGAAGTACCGAAACTGTGCCTTTGAACTGGTTCTTCATTATGGCGCCTTTCTTCTCGCTTATTTCTCCTTTTTTATGTTGATGTGCGTATCTATGGATCGTTATCTTCACGTGACGAAGCTCAAAAAGTACAATAAGTTCATGAACGAATTTCGCATGAAGGTGATCGTTGTGTTTAGCTTCGTAACATCGGCAATAATCGCCTACATATCGATCGCGTTTCCTTCTTTCCCGCTGCAAGTCGCGTTGAATTTATCCGATCTTTTTGGAGTTCTGTTTATGTTCATATTGTATTCGATGGTGTTTCGCAGAATTGCCACTCATGCTGAGAAAATTAAGAGAATGCTGAGTGATGCCGGAGAAGATTCGGGTAACCGAGAAACAAGACGAGAAATCTCGGCAACGAAAACGATTCGTTTTGTCCTGGGTGCTTTGTTGGTTCTGTATCTACCGTACAACATTTGCTCCGCAATTTGGGCGTATTTCAAATACCAGGAGAAAAGGAATCCCCCATTAATCATGAATGTCCTAGAATATTGGGCTTATGTTATCGTGTTTAGTAATGCAGCAATAAATGCTATCCTATTCGGATATGGTAACAGCGTTGTGAGGAGATTCTTAATTGGACGCATTAGCAGGAGTCAAGTTGCTCCCAGTAGCGTCGTGAGTGACGTCACAAGACCTCCTGAAATCGCAAGCAAGGTATAGTACACCCCTGTTTAAGTGCCCCAGGATATTCTGCCCCGGCGACAAAATAATTGTCCCCGGTTTAGATCGCCTCAATCAAATTCCTCGGTCATAGGTTTTGCAAAGCCCGGTACCTAAAGTGTTTGAAAGCTTCCCCGCAATCCAACTGATAGCAAATTATTTGACTGTAAGTCTGCAGAGAATTTTCCTTTAGAATGTCAGACGCAATGATCAAAGAGAAAGAAAGAACAAACGCATATTGGAGGAACCTATTAGTCACACGTGTTTGTTTTCAGCACTTTTTTCTATTCTGGCACCTTATCTTAAACAGAATTTTCTACAAAAGTCAATAATTTCAAGATTTCTTGTTATTACTTTGTTTTCTACAGTGTTTTTAACTGCTGCACAATCTGTTCGCAAAAGTAAATGATATTTCAGTACGATTATGAGAATTGCTTTAGTTAAAATTGCTTAAGACAGTGCATTTTCCAGCGAACGAGAATTATCAAATTTTCAAAATTTCCTTTCCTTCGGCGGCAATCATGGTGCCGCCTCGGGTAACTACATCAAGTGCTTGTCCCGATATTCCATATCAGACCTTTTGGGTTACTAGAACCGTTAATCGGTTATCATTTTATTGGCAAAATTTCCATCCTTACGAAAAAGTGACAAGTGCGAGTTGGACATTTGGTAGGCTGCCCGCCCTGTATATTGGCACGCATCGCCGTAATGTTTTTATCTTTGCTTTGCAAAAAATTAAGAAAACTCTATTTTTTCAAACTTATCCATAAAACTTTTGAAATATAAAAGTACTGCTACGGCGAATCTTTTTGTATAGCTGTACTCAAGCGTACCAAAGATTTTCACTTTGCCGGAGTTTGACCCGAAAATGTGCAAAGTTCGAAAACGACACATCAAAATGTTGTGCTAAAAGTGTTCTAGGTACCTTACTGTGTATTTTTTTCATATCTTACACGGAGGTTTTTCAAAATTGCAAAAACCGAGATCCTGTCTGAATTCCGCATCTCTTAATAACAATTAAGCATGGTATAGCAAATTGCGAAACTTCTATTGAGGATTGGAGAAAGAGCTAGGGATTTTGCAGACTAAACTAAACTAAATTTCGCAGTAAATAGCTCGCAAGGGGTGAATGCAAGTTCCTGTCTTTTGTCCATGCACTTTTTTAGATGAAAGATCCAGAAAAACTTGTGTGCTATTTTTTGAAACTTTCTATTTGCTATTTGCCAATGTTTGAATAGTCGTGAATTGTATAATGTGCAGTCAGTGTCAATGCCAATATGCAGTCGCCCAGCTAAAGGAAGTTTTGATGCAGGCAAATTGCACATGCCACGTTTATGTTGTTTTATGTTCCCATTTGAAATGATACTGTCCTGTGACCTCGGTTCAAATTTAGATCTTTCCGGTTTAAAATGTGACCACGGTTTTCCCCGCCAAGAAGTGAACGCCACCCCCAGAAAAATCTGACCTTACTGGGGGCTCTTAGACGGGGGTGTTATTATTGAAGGCATTCAAGGAAGGGTTGACGTCAGTGGCTTTGAAGCTACTTTCTTGTCCATGCAATGTTAATGATTTTTATTGAGAATAATACTCAAACTGTTTAAAAGTTTATTTCCACCAAAAGAAGCGTTGATGCTGCTCTCTGGCATCCGGTTTGAAGAGCTCTTTTTGGCCGATTAGTCGTAGCTATACGGTTTAATATTTCCTGTCTTGGAGCAGATTTTGTCTTTAAACCGTTAAGGACAAATAATTATTGAATGGAGAATGAAAAACAGACAACAAGTTCTTGATCCAAATTGATTGCTGACTCATGCTTCTTAAATTTTTTTTCATGCTTCATGAAAAACTGTCTAGTTATAATCGACTTCCATGGAAATTTTTGCAAGTTACTTTAACAGATAACCGTAACTTAATTGTATTTAGACAAACCTAAGATTATTTTTTCTTAACACGATTTATGATTACCGATTGAAGCCCAAGGGCCTGTTTACACGTGATCGGATCATGTAGGCCGAGCTGTACGCGCTTTTGTGCATAGAACAAGATTGTTGTTAGTTGCAACTCCAGGTATCTCGCTTATTGACATCATTTTGATAAATATGAGCACTGTGGTCAAAATGAACAATATAAACACTATCAGATTTGTAGAAATATAATGTGTGCAAATACGCTTATAGATGGATAATCATGAAGCAAAAATATATTTTTAATTGATAACAATCATTCTAAAATATATAACAATTATATGTGTACGTATCCAAGTAAAGTCCTAGCATAATCATCTAGACTGGAAATTACAAACGTTGTTTTTCTGCATTTTTCGGTCTGTTTATCACTGACTTTGGGGTTTGAAGAAAGTAGATGCTTAAAGAGCATAATGGAAGTTGTTTCAGACGTTTCCTATAACAATTTATTAATGAGAGACGGAACAGGCGTATAGCAGTGTCAAAACGTGGTCATAGTAAGTTTACAGTGTCCGTTACGTAGCTTTGATTGCTCTGGGACCAACAAGCTTAGCCCATATTAGGCTTAGTTAAATCACAGAACAGAGATCTATATTCTATGATTAAACTTTTGTTAATGACAAATGCTACCTTTTGTTAAGAAGTTTCTCTGGCCTAGCCTTTGCGCCTGTCGTCAGGGTTATAGAGTTGAGAATGGTTTGTCTAGATTTGATATGAGAGACAATCATGAAGACTTGTAAGAGAACGTTAAAGAATAAAGGTTTTCTCAGGCTAGTTCTTGTGGACTTGTCCAACGCTTGAAACTGTCTCAACAATGAACTCTTGCTTTCCAAATTTTACCCATACGGCTTTAGCAAAAATTTCTTACATATGGTGTACCGTTATCTAGCGGGTAGAAAGCAGCGACTCCAAATCAAAAGGCTCATTCAGCCTTTTGGTAAGAAATGAGATTAGCTGTCGCCCAAGGTTCAATCTTAGGGCCTCTTCTTTTTAGCATACCTTTCGATGATATATTCCGTAACTTTCCGTAATTTTTAACTCGCGATTTCATATCAAATCTGCTAAAGAAGGAGACAAAAGAGCAACAAACTATCATCGGCTCTTTCAATAAATTTTATATCAAATAAGCTGATAACTTTAAGATTCTTCTGATTTCCATTTCCTCTCAACCCGTGTTTCGCATTTAAAAGAAAACTACAACGTTCCTTTACGATACCGCGGAAAACGGACACTCCAAATTTTGCTCACTCTCTGATTGTCCAGAATGGTAATATCTGAATCGACTTAAAGGCTCTGGTGCAACCGACATGCTTTGCGACTATACTTTCAAAAGCAGCCTAATGTCGTACTGCATGAAAATTCAAAAACACAATCAATTTCTAAAGACAGCTGCCGCTAAGCATGCCGGTTGCGCAAGGGCCTTTAAGGAAAGCCAACAAATCACCAAATATTGTAAAATGAAACCACTAATAAATATCATATTTGTGCAATGGCCACCTCAGTGTTACGGTCACCTCTTTTGCAACATTCACCTCTGTGCAACAGTCACTTCTGTTACTACGGTCACCTGTGTGCAACGGTCACCTGTGTGCAACGGTCACCTCTGTGCAACGGTCACCTCAGTGTTACGGTCACCTCTGTGCAGCAGTCACCTCTGTGCAACAGTCACCTGTGTGCAACGGTCACCTCCATATCTGCGGCCAGTGGAGAAAGTCCCTGCATAATTTTGTGCTTTGAGAGAAACTTGACAATCTTTTTATCAAAAGTTAATCAGACTGGTTTTAAATGTTTGGAATCACCAGTTGTGCCTTTATACGCTGATCAAGTCAACATTACATGTCAAAAAAATAAGAGAGACGGGAAAGCAATATCTTTATCGAAGAAAGTGTGAAAGGATTATCAACATTAGGATTATCTAAAAATGCACAATGCAAACTTTTCTGCTTTATGTTAGATGTTATATAGGATACAATCAGTAATGTTAAGTCTATATAAAATTTAGTAAAGCCTATCCGCTAAAGTAACTCGTGGAGATTTCCATTTTGCAGACGGAAGTCGATTGCAACTAGACAGTTTTTCATGAATGATGTGAAAAAATTAAGAATCATGGGTCAGCAATCAACTTGCATCAAGAATCTGTTTTCTGTTGTCCATTGTTCCTTCAATAATTATTTGTCCTTAACGGTTTAAAGAGAAAGTCTGGTTCAAGACGGACAAGATTGAAGGGGAAATTCACTTTTATGCTGTTTGAGTATTGTTGTAATAAAAAAATGTTCACACTGCATGGACAAGAGACTAGCTTTAAAACCAGTGACATCAACCTCTCCTTGAATACCTTCAACTAGACCTCGTGTTTTTTGACGTCACTCACGGGCTGCTTGGAGCAACTTGACTTCTGGTAATGCGTTCAATCAAGAATCTTCTCACAACACCGTTGCCATATGCGAATAGGATAGCATTTATTGCAGCATTGCTTAAGAGGATAATGTAGGCCCAAGATTCTAGTACGTTCATGATTAATGGGGGATTCCTCTTCAAGTTGTATTTGTAATACGTCCAAATTGCAGAGCAAATGTTGTACGGGAGATACAGAACTAGCAAAGCACATAAGACAAAGCGAATCGTTTTTGTTGCCGAGATTTCTCGTCTTGCTTCTCGGTTACCAGAATTTTCTCCGGCCTCTCTCAGCATTTTCTTGATTTTCTCAGCATTCAATGCAATTCTGCGAAACACCATCGAATACAAGATGAACACAAACAGAACATAAAACAAATTGCATAAATTCAACGTGATTTGCAGCGGGAAGGAAGGAATCACGATCGATAGATAAGCATTTAATGCTGATGTTAAGAAGCTAAACACAACGATCACCTTCATGCGAAACTCATTCATGAACGCATTATACTTTTTGAGCTTCATCACGTGAAGGTAACGATCCATAGATACGCACATCAACATGAAAAAGGAGAAATAACCGAGAAAAAAGGCGCAATATTGAATAACCAGTTCAACGATACAGTTGCGGTACATGCCTCTCAAAGCAACATTAGCAGCAATGGATGGCATGATGATTATTCCAATGCCAAGATCTGAAATATTCATCAGGAGAATGAATTTGTTTGTGATCGTGTTAAGCTGCCTCATTTTGTACAGTCCGTAAATTAGTGCTGCGTTTGAGACGATGATGATTGGTGACAAAAGAGCGGCAAAAAACGACCAAGTGATCAAATGGGGCGACGGCATATCCAGTGGCCATAATGATGGACAATAGTAAGGTTCTTCTGGACATGAATGATTCATTACTACTAATTAAAGTTCTTTAAAGTTAAACGCCAAATATTACGAATAGCAATACCTTGCAGTGTCAGTTTTTCACACAGCTGAGCCGTGTTGTTCCAAGATAAGCACTATGTTTGAAAATGTTCCTGCCAAAGCAGAGTTGCTGCTCATTAAACCGAAAATCCACCAGTAAAAGAAGACCCACTGCCATGTAGAGCATAGAGCGCTAATCAAACATCTGCTGGCGGAATAGCTTTGAATCTAATGTCGATGATGGTTATATCAGTGATGAAATGCAGCATGACATTGTTATTCCAATCAGGTGAATTTATCCCTTAGCAATACGAATTATTAGTGGGGATTCAATAGCAAAACTTTGCTAATTAATTGTGTCAACCAAAAGGATGGGAAATACTTTTTTCTTGTCACTTTAAAGGGAAAAACAAATTTTCAATGTTAAATAAAAGCACCGACTTAGTTTTAATTAAAAGCAAGTCTTGATTGAACATTAAATGGCAAATTTTAACTTAAAAATGAATGATTAATATTTGAACTGCGAATCAATTAACTATGCAAAGCTAACTTTTTCACTTATTTGACAATGGATGTATTTGTGAAAACCGTTGTGACGTCATCAAAAATCTATTTCCAGAATTAAGAATTCTGACTTCATAGCCTGTAAAAAAATTTCATGAAATACCTCTAAATATGTAGTCATAGTTAAAATCAGTGCCAAATTACAGTGATTTGACGGGGAAAGATCCTGTGCTTATGTGGCAATATCTCATCGGAATCGCAATTAATTCAACTGATTTTGCATATTTGGAGGTATGTCGTGTTTCTTTCAGGATAACGGGTCCGAAATCTAAAGTTCTGAAATAGACTTTTGTGACGTCATCATTCCGCCATTCTCTTTCTTTTCGACTGAAATGGTTTGGTGCTTAATCGCTGTATTCAACTTTAGTTATCGATCTTTCTGCAATAAAATGAAGGAACAAGATAAAACTGTTGTCAAACAAGGACAGGATGGAGGTAGCGTTTAAATGCCAAAAAAGCAACGCGTTAGGTAGCAAAACTCAAGATTTTGTGTTGGAAAATAGACACGACTATACTTTATTAAGAGTTAATCAGAATGGTGTTAAATGTTTGCGATCATGAGTTGTGCCTTTTTACGCTGATCAATGTCAACAATACATATCAAAAACGTAAGTGAGACTTTGGGAATTGATACGGTATTATCTCCAATTAACGGACACTCTAAAAGGCGGACATCTCTTATTAGCGGGCAAATTTTTCCCCGATCGTTCCAATTAGCGGACAGTATAAAAAAAGTAGGAGCCAGCAAGCAAAAAACTAAGACGAATGAATTTTTGTTCAAATATTTATTTCAAACACTTTGACACTTGACAATCTGGTTAGCTTTTTACAGCTTCGAGCTTCATTACAGCCCAGTTTACTAACTTTTCTTGTCCATGAAAGTGGTAAATTACTGCAATCTCCAGACCATAGCCACCTCCACGATTCAACTTCTTTCCAATAACTTAACTTTATTTCACTTAACCTAACCAATAACTTAACCAATAACTTTATTTTTTTTCATTTTTCAACAATTTTAGTTTGTAGTAGGTTGAATTAGTTTTAATTTTGCAGCTATTTTTATATGCCTACTTTAAATAAATAGATAATAATAATAATAATAATAGTAATAATTTCAGCTGTAATGTAAGTGTTTGGATCTACCCGATAGCCACTAATTACCCAGATTACGCCCAGAGGTGGCGCCAGAAATCTTCAGACAAGGGGGCTAAACTGACTAAAATGAGCAGTTTTTGTATGTTATTTTGTCAAATTTGCTCCGACAGTAACCTAAAATTTCCACCGATGGGAGGCTAGATGCTTCCTTGCCGTCATTATGCTCACCATCAAACATGTTTAGCGCCCCATCTTCCTCCAAGTTTTCTATTTCGCTTTTTTTATGTTTGGAAATGGTTCATCTGAGAATTCCCTAGTTTAAGTTTTTGTTGTTGAATTAAATGAGCCTTTCTAAATTTTGTGGTTTCATATCAGCTATTTCTACGGGCAAGACGACTTCTAAACAACCGCATTAATTCGGAGACCTGTCCAATTTTGCATCTACGACTTGACCGCTGACTGTTGCCCGATGCTCCAAAAATACTCAACAAATTCTGACATGACTTGAGCTATATTCCCCACAACATCTGGGAAATGTTAATCCATCCTGTCAAATATCTATGCCTTTCAATACGGATTTATATTCAGGCCTCTAAGTTTCCTTTTCAATGAACTTGCTTGATTCATCCTCGTCGTCGGCGCGCCTAGAAACCGCTAACTAACTACTACGCGTCACGTACCATGTACATCGCGTCACCTACCAACCCGGCTGTAGATGTTTCGGCGTATAGTTCCTCCGCACGTCATGCAGCTGATGGGCGCGACTCTTATTGTCAGTGACCGTTGTTAGCCCCAGCATTTTCACTGGTACTGTTATGATATTTCCACTGGTTCAAGAAAGAATACTCTGGTTCAAGAAAAGATGCTTTGTTTAATTTGCTTTGCTAGCGGTTCTAAAATGCGTGAGATTTGGTGGGTGTGCATCTAGATTTGGCACAGACTTGAAGAAACTGATGCCGTTTTTCGACGACCAGCAGCTTAAGTAAATGAAGTCAAGGCCAAAGGTTTTGTTGGTCAATCGTCCAGTAATGTCTAAAATTGCCTCCAGGACGACAAACAGTGCTGGGATTTGTTGGAATAGATGTTGCATTGGCTAATCTTCCACTTTATTTACGTCTTCCTCAATTCCGATCTGCTATGGAAAAGCAGGTGATGTTCTGTTCGGGACAACACGACTTCTGAGGAATTTGCCAATCAAGAATCTTCTCACAAGGCTGTTACCATATGCAAAAAGGATAGCGTTTATTGTTGCATTACTTAGCAGGAAAACGTAGGTCCAATATTCTATCACATTCATGATTAATGAGGGATTCCTCTTCTCCTGGTATTTGTAATACGTCCAAATTGCAGAGCTAAAGTTGTACGGTAGATACAGAACCAACAAAGCACCTAAGACAAAACGGATTGTTCTCGTTGCCGAGATTTCATGTCCTGCTTCTCGGTAACCATGATTTTCTCCGGCATCTTTCAGCATTTTCTTAATTCTCTCAACATTAATTGCAATTTTGCGAAGCATTTTCGAATACCAGATGAACACAAATAGAATGAAAGTAAGATTGGATAAATTCAGCGCAAATTGCAGAGGGAAAGATGGAAACCCCATTGATATGTAGGCGATTACAGCCGACGTTACGAAGCTAAACACAACGATCACCTTCATGCGAAATTCGTTCATAAACTTATTGTACTTTTTGAGCTTCGTCACGTGAAGATGACGATCCAAACTTACGCAAATCAACATGAAAAAGGAGAAATAAACAAGATGAAAGGCCCC